TTGGGGCCATATTGCTTGACATAGGCTCGAAGGAGTGCGTCTTCTTCCGGCTGCCACCGCTGGCGGTCCTTCATTTCATCGCCACCATTGCTGATGCAGTGAGAACAAGATCGGAAGATGATCAGAAGAAGAAGAAGAAGACGACGAAAATGGAGTTCATTCTAGAGAGAGAGAGAGAATTTTAGGGATTGGGAATTGGGGAAATAGGGTTTTCGAAGTTAGAGAAATTGGGGAAAGATGATGATGATGCTACGTACTGTTATAATGGAGCTCCGATGCCTCTGAATTCTGCTTCAGACCACGCGCCTTTTTACGGGATTTCACGCGCCTGCAATTTGCCTTCGACCTCAACTATGTGAAAATTTTATTAATTTACCCAAAAAATAATTAAAAAAAAGGTAAATTTTGGTTTAAAAGTTATGATTTCACATTAAAATTAATTTTTAATTTTAAGTCAAGGTGTGCAACTTCAACGGGAGTGTAAAAGACAATAAAATAAAATTATAAGTTTAATTCCACAACTTTCAAGTTTAAATTTAATATGTACGATAATACACTTAATTGTGTAGTTAATAGATTCTAAAAATCTTTTAATTTTGTATTTAATAGATTCATCAATTTTTAAAATTTATAAATTTATTAGACACAAAATTAAAAGTAAAATTCTTATTAAATTAAATTAAATTTTATATCTAATAAATCTGTTAAATTTTAAAAATATCTAATATGTTAGGGTCAGTCTGGTAATCTTCTCATTTTTTTTCTTGCTTCGGATAGAAATTTTGCAAACAACCAAAATAAGTTCTTGTTTATTGCTCCCATTTTCAATTTGTATAAATCTTTTTATTGTTCTTGCATTCATGTGCGTTCGAGTCGTGCAATTCTATTTTCTTTATTAAAAAAAGGAAATTAAAACATTATCAAACTGGTTCTTAGTAACCCATTAAACACAAATTAAAAGTTCGATAATCTTTTAGTCATTTTTAAGTTTTGGAGAAATACTACCCACTAATTAAATACTTTAACTCATTAAACTATAACATATTAAATACTAATTTTTTAAATTTAGAAACTAAATTTATAATTTAATCCGAGATAAAGATTGGTAAAGGCACACACTTACGATGCAGCTGTGAATAAATTGGAGTGGGCCCACAATTTAGAAATTTCACTCCTTTTTTTTTTCTTTTTTTGCAAAGTGAAATTTGTTATTATCTTATAGTAAATATGTGAATGAGGATGGACGAGAGAGATACACCTCAAGTAGTAAAATATGTACAGAAAAAATCTATGAAAATTTTCAGTGAAGTGTTTTCTTTTTAAACTTTAGTTTCCTTAAATAATAATTATCAAAACATTTATAAAATTAGAGAACATCCTTTATAAGTTTTTTTAAAGAAACAACATTTTTTATAAGTTAATTAATGACTTTGGTAAGTTTGTTTTAGGTAAAATTGATAACGATATTGGGTAATATAGTAATAGTTTGGCCAATCGTTAAATTAATTAGTCATATATTTTGTTTTATATCTAATTAAGTAATTTAATAGCTGTTAAACAATATTATTTTATTTAATTAAGTTATTCAAACGCATAAAATGATTATTACTGTTCTAACCATTGTTATTATTATTATTATTATTATTTTATATAAGTTTTAACCATTGTTATTGATCACTGGAATGTTTCAACAATACTAATTTCTTGATTGCACACTTGTTCTTTTTTTTACTAGAACAAATATTAGTACTACACACTTCTTTTCGGTATTTTTCTTAGACAATTTATYAATATAGTGTCAACCAAGAGGATGAAATAAATATCATATTTGTCTGTATAAAGAGAAAACCCGATATATAATTTAAAAATAAGAACACTCAATATCATTTATCAGGTGATTAATGAAATGGTGTATACTTCTAGTTGTATCTAGGTGTTCAAAAAATCCAGTAATCCAAAAAATTCAAGCAATCCAATTTACTCATTTTAGTCAATGTACTTTTAAAATGATCATTTTGTTCGATATACCTTTAAAAATGGATCATTTTGGTCCTTCGTTTGTTTATCTCATTTTTTCGATCATAATTTTAGCATGATACTTTGCTCCCTAAAGTCCTTGAAATACAGCTACAATTTATTTTTAAATGATTTATATTGTGTATAAAATAACTTAGGTTAAAATTTTGCTTATAAATTTCAAATTGATCACTTTTTAAAAGTAGTAAGATCAAAACAGACGGTTTGAAAATATAATGACTAAAATGAATCAAAATTAAATAACGTTTTGAAAAATATAATGACCAAAATAATGAAAGTTAAAAAGTATAAAGACCAAAATAAACAAAAATGAAATCTACGTGAATCAAAAAGATATTTAAACCTATGTATTATTATTTGAAATATAGGTATTTTTGTAAGAAACGGTGACTATATTTATTACTAAAAATAGTAATCTTTAGTCCTATTTAACTATCGTTTGATTCCTTTTATGTTTAAATCTCTATAATTTACGGTTAAAAAAAATCTCTATAGTTTATAATTATCTTCATTTTTTAAATTAATCGTCCACTATTTTGTATATTTAAATCTCGATAAAATTATTCTAGTCATTATTTCTTTTAAAATCTCAATTAATTTTTTAAATAATAATGAGTATTAACAGTTTGGGTAAGTATTTTTCCAACCAAAGTATTATTGTCGTTATTTTTTCCATAAATATCAATATTTGTTTAAACCTAGATAATATCATGGCCATACTTATTATTATGTAAATATCAATATTAATTATTAATAACTAATCAAAATGTCACCGGTTCGAATTTCCATTCAACATGGAATTAAAAAGAAGTTCATCCAATAAAATTCATACATCTTTTTATAGATAAAAAAAGGAGTTCATTGATTAAGATAAAGTGTCACATGTACTACGCGAGATGAAATCTTCTTCAACAATAGTCTTAAGCTAAAGAAAATCGTGGAAAAATCATAAGGAAAAGCGACTATAAATTTGCTCTCTTATCCAAATATTTGTTGCCTTATCGAGAGATCTGCTTACATGCACGAAAGAGATGCAAAGGAAGAAGTTAAACAAAAACATTTAATTCTATTTTTCTCAATAGAAAAATATTATTATTATTATTATTATTATTATTTTGCTCATTTCTCGAGGAAAATCATTTTTAAAAATCTCTTTATAGTTTATAATAAAAGAAATATATTCTGAAGAAAACTGACAAATATGACATAATGTTAAAAATATATCAAATCTAAGTTTGGAGGCTAGTGCAATAATTTTTCAAAAATTTGATAATTAAAAAAAATAATTTCATCAATCAAACATAGTTATAATTAAAATATTAGTAATCTTTTTCAGTTCTCATCTCCACATTTTTTAATGGAAATAAAAGAAAAACAGTAAAGACTTAATTTATCAAAATTTGAAACACTTGATCCCAATTAGCAAGAGTACATGAGATGTGAAAATAAAACATTCTACAGTTAAAAAACCAAGGTAGTTAAATAGTCAAATGGTCGAAAATAGAATTATATATATATATATATATATATATATTTAAAATATATATTTAGCTATATTAAAGCGGCTATGTCTTAACTATATACAATAAATATATTGGATTAGTCAGTGTAAAAACATATTAACCTGACCTGTGATGCTTTTTTCAGAGAATATACTCATTAAAGTATTATTATACTTTCTCCTAACAAAAAGTATTATTATATCAACAATTTTCCAAGTCACATTTTTTAAATATTCATATCATATACATTTTTTACCCACGTCAGTAATTTTAACGGAAAACCCAATGTACATCGAAGATAAAAGGTTAAAATTACCAAATCGTTTCTTATTTTTTTTGGTTAAATTTCAATCCTTTCAAACTATTACAAATATGCAAAATATTTTTTACTTACCCAACAAGAAACAATGAACTAATGTTTTGTATTTGGTTGACCTACTTATAATTAATGATCAGAGGGGCTCAAATTGAACTTAAACCCTACAAAATCAGGGGATGCAAAAATTGAGAGAGAATATAGAAAAGCGAACCTAATAACCTATTTATTCCAATCTAAAATACTAATCTACACTTGCAAATATAAACCCAAATTAGACCTACCTCAAATACGAAATCAAATGAATTTAAACAAAAATCTATCTAGCATATCTCGTACTATAGTATTAAGATGATTCTATCAATAATATCAACTAATATTGAAACCGATACAGGTATCAAAATTGATAAGACCAAATTGAAACTAAATTTAGATAAGGAGAACAAATTTATAATTTAGAATGAAACTAAAAAATATATATATAACCAAGAAAAAGGGAAAAAAAAAGTA